AATCGCCTTCGGTGTGGTTGATACAGAAAATGACGATTCGTGGAACTGGTTTTTTACGCAACTAAAAGTTTTGATTCCTGACGACAAGGGTCTTGCGATAATCTCAGATAGGCATAACTCGATTGGGAAGGCTATTCGAAATGTGTATCCGTTGGCTTCTCGAGGAATTTGCACGTACCATTTATATAAGAACATTTTGAGACGGTACAAAGGGAAAGATGTATTTCGTCTGGTGAAGAAAGCGGCAAGATGTTTCAGGATGCCTGACTTTAATGCAATCTTCGAGGAGATTGAAGCTATTAATCCTGAGCTTCATGGGTACCTCCAAAGAGCCGATGTCAAACTGTGGGCGCGTGTTCATTTCCCAGGCGAAAGGTACAATTTGATGACTACAAACATAGCGGAATCAATGAATAGAGCATTATCAAATGCTAGAGGTCTTAACATTGTTCGACTACTAGAATCGATACGGGGTATGATGACCAGATGGTTTGCTGAACGGAGAGAGGATGCTGAAACGCAGCAAACCATGCTTACACGTGCTGTAGAGAAACTACTACTTGTAAGTCACTCATACTTATTAAATAAGTCAGCCGTTTCATTTAGTAAATCAGCCTAAGTAGATAGCATAACTCAGCCGTATTAATGATAAGTCAGCCTAAATAGGTTTCATAAGTAAGCCGTATCGATGATAAGTCAGCCTAAATAGATGTCATAAGTCAGCCTAATATTTTAGTAAGTCAACCTAAGTAGAATTCATTACTCAGTCTCTAATGTTTTTCGTTGTTAATTTTTTATTTATAATAGGGTCGTGTTACTACCGCGAGGCTGTTGACTGTACAAAGAATCGATACTCATCACACTGAAGTTACATATGGTGAGTCTTTGCATGTTGTTAACTTGGAAAGGAGAAAAAGCACATGCCGCCGTTTCCAGCTGGAGAGATTACCATGTTCGCATGCAATTGCAGCTGCGGAGTCCAGGAATGTTTGTCGTATATCCCTGTGCAGTCCTTACTATACCAGCGCTTATTGGGTGAGCGCATACGCCAATTCAGTTATGCCGGTTGATTCAGCGCTACCAGTTCCAGATAACGTGGTTAACCTAGCATGCTTTCCCCCGTCTATTCGTCTTCAGCCAGGAAGGCCTAAGAAAAATAGGATGAAATCTTCTCTAGAGGTTGCACTTGAAAACAAACGTCCTAGGAAAGAACACACATGTTCTCGTTGTAGA